CTCTCTCTCTCTCTCTCTCTCTCTCTCTCCTCTCCTCCTCCTCCTCCTCCTCCTCCTCCTCCTCCTTCCTCCTCCCCCTTCTTCCTTCTTGTATAAAATGAACTCGGGGGCACGGGTTCTTCCTTCTTCCGTCCGTTAACCATTAACACCGACCTAAAAACAGAGTAAAATCCAACCTGCAACCTACACAGCATCGGACTTGTCATTCCGGCGTGGCCATCTCCTTGCACGCCTCCGCCAGCTCACCGCCAGCTTTTTGCCAGCATGCGAGCTGTCAACACCAAAGGACGTGGCGTGCTGCCACGCAGCGCAATGCCTCCCAGGAGAGCAGCGCCGTCTGACACCAACGCGAAGGACAGCTCGAATGTTGAGTTGATCGAAGGCAGCCACGGCTGCGCTTTCTGCGCTGGTCTCTCTGATGTTTTGTGGCCGCTAGGGGAGCGGAGGACGGACAAGGGCCAGGAGATGGGAAGCAATACTAGTAACTCAAGCCGTGCCACCGAGACCAACACAGCCCAGGCAGAAAATCTGCAGTGGAACGTACCGGGTGCGGGTGCTGAGTGGTGGCGCCTGTGTGTTTGACGTAACGTGTGTTTGCATGCTACGATACAGTGCTAAGAGTACCCTGAGTAACGAGCCCCTGTGTTGGAAGCAGCGGGTTTGACGCCAAGGTAAGATTGACGAGCCTCTCTGTCCGAGAGGGAGGAGAGCCGCGGCGCGGGCGAAGTGCAAGTCAGGTGCAAGTGGCGCGGGCCGGCGGCGTGGGCGCCGCCTCGGGCTCGGCTCGTCGGCCAGCGCGTGGGCCCGCAGACGCACGGCACGACCTTAGCTTTTTTTCTTCACATTTGATGCTCAAGAAAGCGATGCATTAGCGCCCACACCTTACGCCCTACCCGCCACATCACTCTTACACAAAGGAAAGCACAAGCCGCCGGCCGCGGCGGTCGCAATGTACTTGCCGCAAGCGCCAGGAATGTGCGCAGCTTCTCGGCCCTTCCCCTCGAGGCAACAGCAGCTCTCGACTCGCCTGCGACAGGGGGCGGGGAGGCCTGCTCAGATCGTGAGATTCCGGATGAAGCATTTCCTCACGCTTGTGCGTCAGCAGAGGGAGCTTACGGTCATCAATGCAGGAGGGGAGGTGCAGGTGGGGCGCTGGAGGGGGCTGTGTGCGTCTGTGTGTGGATCGATTGGACGGGTGGGGGGGGGGGGGGGAGCGGCTCAATCCCTTAAATGTTCGAGTTTGTCTCGATCAGGGGTCAATACAGGTCTGTGTAAAGAGGCTCCTCCTCGCCGCTCGGTCCGAAAGGGGAGAGGGGGAGAGGGGGGGTGGGGGGGGTCTGCTGGGTTGCGGAGATCAGCCTTGTTGGAGGTCCTCACTCCGATGGCATCGCCACCGCGGGTCGGAAGTCATATGCATAGTGAGTGGCATCCTCTCTCCCGCGGGGGCGCGTGCGTGCGTGCCGTGCGTGTGTGTGTGGTGGGGGAAGGGGGGAGGGGGGGGGGGGGGGGTGCAAAAAAAGGCCCGGGGGAATGGAGGAGGGAGCCGGGCGGCGGCCCGTGGCTCAAAATGAGCTGGATAAGGAGGAATCCGCGTCGCCAAGAGTGGCTTGGAAGACCGTCGTGAAGTCCTGATGCCTCATCAGCGCCACGGGGCGCCGCCGCCGCCCGAGTGTGTGGGGCGTGGGTGTGGTCTGCCTTGTGGGGACGAGGCCCGGCGCGGGCGGGGGAGGGCATCACCACGCGGCGGCGCGCCTCTTCGGCGGTGCACCGTCTGGCGTGGCGCGGCACGTGGACGCGCGACACGGTACCTGCGAGAGGGGCCGCGGTGGCGGTCAGACACGCCGCGGTGGAGAGCGCGTGCGGGGTGGATGGCTGTGCGCAGCAAAGGCAGCACGGAGCTCAGACAGTGCGAAGCACGGCTCGCAACATCGCTTGCGGCCCCGGACGAGGGTAGGTTCTCCAGCGTACTCGCTGGACCCTCAGGACCGCACGCACTCAGACGAATAATGGGTTCATCACTGCTCCGGAGGCGCAGGACGGGCGGGCGGGTGGGGTCGGCGGGCGTGGGACAAGCAGACCTGGAGATGCGAGCTCCGAAAGGACGGCGTAGAGCTGCCGCACGTCACAGGATGGTGCTCTCGACGTGCGCCGCCAGCACGACGACGACGGAAGAGCCCGGTGAAGGAGCGATTTGTCCTTCAGGCCATGAGGGGGTGGAGCGTTTGGGGGCACGTAAACCCAGAACCCACCCAGAACCAGCGACGTGCCGTCGGTGTCACCGGAGTGAAGAAAACGTCGGCGGGCTACCCAGATAGGCGGTCTGTTCACATAAACGCACAACCCCGGGCCCGAAATCGCACAGAGACAGTCACGCAAGGGTCTGTTCACCACGGTGACACCCTATGCAATAGGTAGGTAGGTCCGGTTTTGACCGCCCCAGGAGGGCCCTACAACAGGCAGTACCCCATATTTTCGTCTTTTTCTGCAAAGGGGTGTGAACGGAGAGAGCAAACTCCTGCAGCTCCCACAGTCGAAATGTGCGCCAGCTGCCCGCTCACCTGTGTCACGCCGCCGCGCACGCACCTCGCTATGTGCTCGCGCGAGCTCCCGCCCGAGCCTCCAGCTCGGTTTCCCACTGCTGCGGAGCCGATCGCTTTTCCTCGGCGCTCGCGTCGAGCCGAGCTCTCGGCACTCTACGGCGGGCGTCGCTGTGCGGGGCGCCCGTTTCCTGCTGGCCCGAGCGGAAAGCTCCACGTGCCCGCGCGAGCTCCGGGCCGAGCCTCCAGCTCGGCGTCCCACTGCTGAGGAGCCGATCGTCGTCCGTCGGTGCTCTCGAGGAGCCGAGCTCCTTGGCCTGCGGCCGGCGACGCTGCAGGACGGCGCGCGCGCACCCCCCCCTCCCTCACCCGCGCGCTCTTCCGCCGGCGGCGCACACGCACCCTCGCCCCGTCGCTCTTCCGCGGCGCAGCCCCCCCCCCCCCCCCCACCAAAGGCACGGAGATTCTGCCGCGGATGATGCTTATCGGTCGCAAGAAGGAGCATACGGATACGGGCACGTCGGAAAAGACGAAAGGCCCCCCCGCCTTTGTGCTGGCGATCATGCTATTTCCGCTTTTTGCCCATCTGACGGGGCGGCTGGTGGGGCTTGGATTTCGTCTGGCAAAGATCGATACCGTATGACGCCGTTCAGGCTGCGTCTTCGATCTCCCTGGCATATTTCAGACCGATGACGGCCGAGTCAATCAGCCCCTGCTCTGATCCGGCAAATTGGGGGCACTACCGATCGTCGGCTGAAGCGCCTGAGAAT